TGACATACTGAGGCTTTCATCTGGGGTTGAGGATGCCAGTCATGACCACGAGGGGGTAGTGTAAACACACAGCAGATGAAATTGTAAGCTTGCGTGGGAAGAGAAGTAAAGGACTGCAATGCCTAAGTCCAGGAGTCTAGTCCATCTCAGTGTCTAATGGTACACTATTGGAAAATTTATTTTTACTTATATTTCACCAAATTTGAGTAGCTATTTCTAACTTTTCAGTTGATTAATTCTAACAGAATCATACATTTTGGAGACCCAGGTTTAGTTTTCTTCCTCTTATTTAGCTCAAATAAGTATGTTCTCCCATCTCCTCCCTGTCTTTCAAAAATACCCATACTTGGCAAAACCGAAGTTCAGATTGCAAATGAGGGCTTCACCTCTATATTTAATCTTGGCAAAAATCAACAGTGTATGACATCATGACATAAGAGAGCATCTATGTACAAACATATACAATTTTATTGATATCTCTACAGACTACAAGAATTTTAGGTAGAGTCACAATTGCTGAGTGCAACAGAAAAATAGTAATTTTTCGTTTTCTGAAAAGATGCAAAAATTCTGAAGGTGAAAGAAAGATACATCAATGGTGTCATTTCTTATTTCCTAGAATAAAACATCACATAATTAAGTACTAAAAATTATAGGTTATTAGAGACTTTGAGCCTGTGTATAATTGTCCAAAACCACCACCTAGTTTATTTCCTGGCTTTGCAATTGAGAAGAGTGGGCCAAAACACGAGGGGAAGCAGTGTGGGGCAGAAACTCAATTTGTTCTCACTGTGTTATTGCCTTTCTTTGGCTGGATTCTCCCTTTCTGCAGGTGGAAGCACTTTTTCAGGGCACTGGTGGTCAGACAATGAATCCCAGGTATTTTTTTCTCTTTAAGCATATATTCAGTAACTAAGAGAATAATTAGAGTGGCCTTAGGATCTTTGATTGAGACAACAATCAAAAAAAGAGGAATCGTTCTCCCTGTTTGCTCAGTTTAAGCCCAATAAAATCCTATAGAAGAACAGGTGCTGGGCCCAGGCCTCCTCCGAAAGAATAAAGAAATTTGAATCCAGTTTAGTGCATCCTTATTTTGAGAATTTTTATTGTATAGAATATTGAGAATTAGTTTTACCACTTAGCTTTATATACTTCTGAATTTACTGTGATGTTTCTGGTAGCTTATGATAGCACATGTAAAAGACAATCAAAACTTATGCTCGACTGGAAATAAATATCAAGTCACATACAATAATATTGCAGTTATTAAGAGTTAATGGTGCTTCCTGGCCAGAAATTTGTACTTTCTTTTGTTCTATGAGAGGTGTAGAATAAATACCAATCAAGATAACACTATGTCTCTTACATTTTACTTTCCCTGACCCCTCAAGAAGGAGCTGAGATACCAGCTTGGTTGGCTGTAAAGTAGTGGTTAACAACTCTAGCTGGACCTTAGACACTTTGGGGGCTTTCAAAAATAGTGATGTCCCAGTCCTATTCTAAAGAATTTTGAAATGATTGGGTATTTAAAATATTTCATTTTTATTATTTTTATGTGTATGGGTGCACCCCTATCGTGAAATTCCCTCAGAGGTTATAAGAGGGCGTAGGATCCCCTGGAACTAGAGTTACGGACAGTTATTAGCCGCTGTGTGGGTGCTAGGAATTGAACCTAGGTCCTTTCCAAGAGCAGCTAGTGCTTTTAGCTGCTGAGACATCTCTCCAGCCCCATAATTGGGTATTTAAAATATTTTATTTTTATTATTTTCTTATGTGTATGAGTGTATTGACTGTACGTGTGTAAGTGCATCCGTGTCCTGCAATGCCAGCAGAGGTCAGAAGAGGGCATCGGATCCCTTGGAACTGGAGTTACAGACGGTGTGGGTGCTAGGACTCAAGCCCAGGTCCTCTACAAGAGTCATGCCCAGGTCCTCTACAAGAGTCAAGCCCAGGTCCTCTACAAGAGCAGCTAGTGCTTTTAACCGCTGAGCCATCTCTCCAAGGCTCAAGTGATTGTTATGTATAGCCAAGGCTGAAAATCATCCCACCACCCCCAAGAAAAATACATAAATAAAGACTGTGCTTCTGGTTCCATCCAAACCTCCCCACTTCCTGCAGACTCACGTGCCCCGCCCCCCATGCCCACACTCTTGTACAGCACTGCACATCCTCCCCCTTTTCCTGGTCAGACTGCTTCCATTCCAGGCAATGTGGTCTGCAGATATGCACAGGGAATTCACTGGCAACTATGCTTTCTGGAATTGTGCATATGAGAGGGGATGCTCAGTCTAAGTAAGGGACAAGTATTTCTCTTATTTCAAGCACTGTGTGTAGAAAACACTACTCACCTAAGATGGGGTTGAATGACCACAGGTGAAGAGGCTGTGAAGTTACCATTTAACACTGGGAGAGCAAAACCTGCCCAACACGCTGACTTTTGGCAATGCACTCTCTCAGCCAATATGGCCAGGGTGCAGTATTTGTTTTTCCTCCATGAGGAAGCCCCATGACATGAAGATATACTCTGATTAAAAGACAAGGAAAAGATTTTGTTTTCCAGACTAGCTTCATTTTTTTCCCCCTCCGTCCAATGTCTTTGAGATAGCCAAGTATCTCAAAGAACCTCCCTTAATCCTCATCCAATCTTGGGCCTAATCTTAAATCTTTTTATTTTCTTAAAGTTATATAGGTAATGGAGCTGGGTGTGGTGGCGCACGCCTGTAATCCCAGCACTTGGGGGGCAGAGGCAGGCGGATCTCTGTGAGTTCAAGGCTAGCCTGGTCTACAAAGTGAGTTCCAGGAAGCTGGGGCTACAGGGAGACGCTGTCTCAAAAAAAAAAAAGTTTAATCATTTCTTGTTTCCTCTCACAGAGTTGATCAATGAAATATATAAAGATTGTGTTTTTTCCTTTGCTTATTATGGACAA